ACATATATATATATATATATATGTATGTATATAATTATTAATTATTAATCAATTAAATTAATAAAATTAAACAATAATAAATTAAAACCTAACACTAACATCCCTCTTCTCCTTATGCCCGAAACCCTCGCCTTCATCCCCTCTCATGCTTTCCCCTTCCCGTCCCTCTTTCGCCCAAAACCATCGACTTCAAGAACGAACCTTCGCCATAGCTAGCTGGGAAGGAAACGAAGGGCTGTTGGCTTCCAGACACTACCGAAACTCCCATCTTTCTCATCCGTCCGCTCCGCTCCTACCAGAAACCATCGAGGAAGGTGAGCCTGTTCGCGCCATTCTTCCTCTTGGCTCATCCCGGATTTACTAAATCCGCCGATTAACAGGAGGACCCCAGGATTGACGGAGTCTTTTTTTGCTGCTTGGCAGGATTTAGCTTAAATCCTGCTTAAAACCTGCCCTCGTTTTTCTTTTTCATCCGTTCAATGTCGAGAGGAAAAGCTTGAAAATCCTCGAACTTGCTGGTAGGGGTTCAGAGTTCTTGTGGTTTTTTTTCTTCTAACCTCCTTTTAAAACTGCCGCGACGACAATTTCTTACTACAACGAGTCCAGAATGGCGTATGGCCGCGAGCGAGATTTCTTATTCTGTAGCATGTGCGGGACGCTTCTATCTTTCAATTCACCGGAATTTGCCGAATGTCGTCTCTGCGGGTGCAAGCGCAATGCTCAGGGTACCTTGCTTTCCATCCAGTTGCTATTGGTTACTTTTTTTTTTTTTTGGTTTTTTTTTTTTTTTTTTTTGTTTCCAATTCACTTTGATGCTGATGGATGATATTCAGTCGGAATATGATTGAATTCATGTTTAAGTAGGGTTTTTGACAGAGATACTGATCATAGAGTTTAGGCCAAAATGTTTCTCGATTTTGTTCTGGTTAGCTTTTAACAACATCCCTTCGAAATTTTATATATTGCATATCGAAGTGGTTGTCTGATTTGGATTTTACCTCCATATACTGATTCTTGATCTAGAAAATCTATCCACATTATATTAATGTTGCAAATATATCTTCTTATTGTTTTAAATGACTCACCCAACATCAACTTGTTCTATATCATACTTCTTCAAGTGGATATCCATATTAGCAACTTCAAATCTCTGTGTTTTCTCTAATGATTAATATTTGGGAATATGGTCCAACATATGCAATGATCTTTGCTGAAGCATGGTATACTTGAAGCTTAAAGTCCAAAATTACTAAAGATTTCTTCAAGCCAAAGTGTTAGGAGGGGAGAGTCAAGACAAAAAATTCATAGGAAAAAAAAAACTTTATGCTATTCTTTCCTTTCTTAAAGAGAGTAGTAAGAGGTAAAATGGGTGGAGTTTTTATAAATTTTATCTTAAAAGTGGAAAGAAGAAGACAAGATACCCTTGAATGCAAAGAAATGCTCTTATTTTTCCTACTAATTAGACAATAATAATTATAATATGCAAGATCAAATTTAAAATGATGAGATTAATAATATCAACCTATGTGATTCTTGCCTCTTTTTTGTGACAATAATGTTTACTAGTAATTTATTATAAAAATTAACAAAGCAACCAATATCGAGATCATAAGAATAATAACACTCTAGTGAAAGAAGAAGTGAAAAAATAAAAATTTACTAATCGAATATATTGGTTTGGCCACCAAAGAGCTTCAATCCATTTTGCAAGTCCTGTCAAGATTTTCACTATCACTCTCCTTCACTATTGCAAGCAAAGAAACCTCTCTCTTTAATAAGTAATGGAGGACCCTACTTCTAATAAATTTGAGAATCACACTACTAATTTAACTTGCTAGGTTGCAATGCTCTAAATTGAAAGATGTGGACTTGCCACTCCTAACACAATCCTCTAGAGCAGACATAAAATTTGTGAAGCAAAACATGAGGGAGGAGACTTGGCGTGTAAAAAGGTAAATTGGAACTCTCTTTTTTTGTCTCTCTCTCTTATGATTTGCCAATGTATGTTCTCTCTATTAGACATTGATGGCATGTACATTAGTATCATAAGACTCCAATTAATCAATCAAAATCATCTCTAATAGAAAATTAGTGAAGATTCAATCAATAATTTATGATTAGTATTGTAAAACCCAATCAACAAGATTCAACATGCCAACTGAACATTGTGTTATACGAGCAACATCATACCATAAGGTGAAAATGCCAATTTGAATGAATTGAATATTCTTAATTTATATGTAGAACAGTTTTTGAATGTAAAATTATCATACTCTATGATCAAGCATCTTACAATACAATCCATTGGTAGATCAAAATAAATGAAAATTTGCTTGATTGAACTTGAAACCAACATTGATCGTACAATACAATTAGTTGAACTTAATTTATGACTTGGAGAAATGTACTAAACCTTAAATTTCAAGACGGCCATCTTAATATGCTTAGTTTATCAAATTGTTAACATCACTTAAATCGTAAATAGTGTTCAACAATCTTATTACATATTTTGTTATGACACTCTTATTGATATGACTTAGCTAGTACATGTACTCATCTTGAATATAAATATTAGCAAATATCAAATTATATTTGTAATCATAAAAATGATTGGCGCTCAAGGTCATGATCTTAACATAAGCCTATCCAACATAGAAATAATTTGTAATCTCTTTACCGATTAGGAAGTTCTTGTTATAATAAAATAAATGATTCAAATAATATGCAACAGCTTGCAAATTATGATGTAATTGATGATAGTACTTTTCGTTTATAATTTGTCATATCTCTTTATATATAGCTTTTTGTTCCATTAATATTCTTGCTATTTCTACTTCTACCATATTTATAGCTTCTGTAGATAATTTTATTTTTGGAGTCTTTTCAGTATCAAGCTTGAGATTCTGTGATCTTGAAAGCATAGCAACAGTATGCCAAATAAATCATATTTATAAATTATTTTCTTCTATTATTTTTATTTATATTCTTTTGCCAATGAAATTTTTTCCCTATTCAAATACAAATATGCCCTCTAAAGGTTGGTTCATTTATCTGAAACTTTGTAAAATTAAATATATAGTGGCAAATCTTGTGACTTTTGGTTGGACAGTTTTTTTATTATAAATAAATTTGCTCACTAAATTTACTTTAGTCAAAATGTATTTATGTTGTGGCAATTGTCCTATATCTTGACCATCAATCGAGATAGTGGGCATCACATAGGGTCTAGTAAATATTATTCTCTCTCTGTTAGTATCCTGACAGTCATATATGAATTTACATTATTTGTTAGCGCTTAAACAGTCATGTTCTGTCGTAAGAAGAATTTTAAACCATCACATAGGGTCTAGTAAATATTATTCTCTCTCTATTAGTATCCTGACAGTCATAGATGAATTTACATATTTGTTACCGCTTAAACAGTCATGTTCTCTCGTAAAAATTTAGTCAAGAATTTTAAACAGATATGCATCTTTAACAAAAGGTTGATTGATCAATAAATTTCAGAAACAGACCCACTCATAAGGATTAACAATAAGGAAGTAGAGAATCCTTTATTGTCTCATATCTAACCAACACGTGACATTATTATTATCCATCTTTCAGTCCATGCTTCTTTCATTTTCTTAATCATTTATATTGTTGTCCTTTCTCATTTAGCCTAAATTTTTTTTAAGCTCATTTATGCTAAGAAGATTTAATCCTCTATCATAAATTTTAGTAGAGTGAATATTTTTGTATCTATGATGGATTTTTTTGGCGGGTTGAATGAAAATACTTTAATTAGTTGGTTTTTTATCAAAGCTGAAGAAGGCATTGCTTGAGGGTTTTGTTGTGATTTTCATCCTAAATTTAGATTATGCATCACTTACTGCAGATGTTCTTTTCTCTCTTCTTTGCCTAATTTTCATCCTAAAGTTTCTGGAGCAGTTCTTAGAAATGTGTGGATGCTGATACTTTTTTTTAATCAAATACCCTTTTTTTTCTCTGGAGACATTTCTAATTATCTTTTGTTTTCGTAGAGATTGAAGGCAAAGAAATACGATACACGATCACTGCCGAGGTATTCATGCAGTTTAAGTTGACATAGAATTTGATTTATTTTCTTTTTATTTTCACATGCTATGTTCAAGCTTCCTAGCAGGTAAAGCTGTTATAGAAGCATTGGTATGAAGCCCCAAACCGTTTTTTTATTTTTTTATTTTTATATTGGTCTGCTAATTTTTTGATAAACAAAGTATTGGCATTATGTCCTCCATAATTATCATAAAGTAATATCATGTAATCGTTTATAGTTTGGTACTTATGAAATATTGCCGCTAAATATCTATAATTATGGTGTATCGTATAATATATGTTTGAATCAATGAAGCTGTAGTAATTCACGATGAATGAACAATTTGAATGTATGGTAATAACTCTGTATACTTTAGATTTTATTTTATTTATTTGTTTGATGTATGTTAGATTACAAAAGCACCCATGTTTGCTGATGACTTAAAATAAAAAATAAAATATTTACTATTTAACAATAAAATCAGTAATTTATGTTGAAAGACATGTCTTGACACTGTCTATGACAAAATCATCATTAGCTGTTTCTGACTCAACCCTTACCCATACCCCATAACATGTTGAGATCATATTTGATACAGAAACCATGAAATTCTCCATTTCAACCATAAAATTGATTACATCAATACTGATAAAATTTTAATCTTTTTATCCTTAATACCTCATACATGGAATCGTTTTTATGCTCTTCAAACCTGTTTGCCTCACCATAACAGTCATGGATAAAATTTGAGAACATCGGTGATGTGTAATTTGGGCACAAATTTGTTGATTATTACTTGATCTGAGCCAACTAACATTACCTTTCATTTAAGCTCGGTATTTTTCATCCATGCATCTCTTATTTTATCCTGGTACATTTCTGTACTTTGTCTAGTTTCTAGAATTTAATCATTCATTTTTAATGTGCAAATTTCATGAAGTCTGGCGCCCTCGATCGCTTATTTGTTTATTTTGAGGATGATTGTGCAGAGGATCTATCTTTATGCTTGAATAACATAGAAAAAGAAATGATAACCTGTTTGAACTTTTGAAAAGGTTATTTATCAGCCACCACATTATTAATTTTAGGTGTTTTTTAGTGTTTATGATGATGTTCAGCCAAGTATACATGCCATAATACAAGAAATCAGTGGCGCGAGCCTCAAAATGCACCTGAATAATGTTATTGTGGAAACCTTGTTTCTATGATATCAATAGGATAGTTTGATTTTTTTTTTTTTTTTGTCTATGATATCAATAGGATAGTTTGATTTTTTTTTTATTTTTTATTATTATTTTTTTTTTATGAACATGAACATTTCTAAATATCAGGGCTTCTGTTGTCATTTTTTTTTCAGACAACTAAAATCTGTCCATCTGCTGAATAAGGTTTCTATATTGGCTTTATACATGCAGATCTTTCTTAACTTTATTTTTGCTTGAGCTAAAACAATAAAGTATCCTGATTTCAGCAGAATTTCATTCGTTGTGGATGTTGCCCATACCATTGATAAATTCCTGATTTCAATGATGAAGTTTGCTATTTCAAAATTCAAATTAGATCTGATTTTTCCCGTTTCAGGATATCAGAAGGGAGCTAAAAATTGAACCATTTGTAATACTGGAATCTGCTCGGATGGAGGAGGAGAAAGTGCAGAGAGCTGTTGTAAGTGATCCACAAATACTTCATGTAATTGTCTGTCTACATCTTCATTGAAACCACAGTTCATGACAATTCGCTACTATTGTTTTTTATGACAGGTAAATGAAACATGTCCTCAATGTAATAACTCTCAGCTTGAGTATTACACCAAGCAGGTTCGGGATAACCACTTTCTCCTAATCTTGATCTTTTGTTTTTGAAAAAGACGCTTCAGTTCTAAACTTCTAATACTTCCTATTCACTTCAGCTCCGATCAGCAGATGAAGGGCAGACAGTTTTCTACGAGTGCCCGAACTGTAGGTACAAGTACTCGCTGAACACTTAGAACAACAACTCTTGAAATCTGCCCTGCAAGTTTTGTACTGTTTTAGTTCTCTTAGTAACAGTTGGGAGGTGATTATTATAACAAGTCTGCAAATCATTTGCAATTTATTCCTGTAGTGAAATAGAAGTCTGTATGTGTATACACTAATAGAATTTTACTGCTCATTTTATATGAGGAGCATTTATTTAAGTACTTTAAAAAAGAGAATGTGTACTGTGTATGTTTGCTTTGAAGGAATTGATTTAATAAATTTTTATCGAGCATTATGATTTTAATGAAATTAATAAATAATTAAATTTAATAAATTTTGATTTTGATGACTCTTGGAAGAGTATATTTTCTTGGAACTTTAGAATGCTTCTACATCATGATATAATCTTACAATGACTGCTAGGTCTCTTGATTGTGTTCATCGACGAACTTGGTGTTTTTGATATGATATTAGATATTAGTGTTATGAATATAAATATGAAAGTTTAGGTGTTAGATGCATAAATGCTTTAAAATTGCGTGGTGATACTTATATAAATGCCCTTAATTTTAATCATTTTTTTATTGTTGCTATTTTTATTTTAAATCTGTTGGCTTTTAAATCACAGTGCATTTTGATAATGAGTATTGATTTACATAAAAAAGCTTAACCATAAATTTTATCATTAATTTTAATGAGGTTAGTTTTTACTTCAATATGCGACCCTTCTTCTTCTATTGATGTGTAAATAGGATCTCTATCATTAAATTTACAATCTTCAAATCAAAGCCAAGCATGCAAATATTTAAATCTTATAAAATATATTCTAAACAAATACCCTTGTCCATAGGACAATGCAAATAGTTAGCGAGATAAGTTTTGAGGAGATCTAACTTAGGAGTTTCTAAGGTGACAGGAAACTTATTGAGTTAAATCAAACTTCGTTACACACTCGAAAGAGGGTAATCTAGATTCATGCTCCTATCGTCGCTAATCACATTAGATTCTTAGTATCCTAATTTAAATTTTCACTTGTGCACTCACAAGTGAGTGGTAGCTTTCATATCTTGAATTTCAAATAAAAGCCAGGCATGCAAATATTTAAATCTTATAAAATGTATTCTAAACAAATGCCCTTTCATTCAGACTGAGTCAACATTTTTGCGTTAGAGACAAACTGTAGAGATTTTGGCTTTGCTCTTTATGAGGCTAAATTATGCAAACAAAAATCGAGATTGAAAGCCACTCAAATGTTGGCTTTTGTGACCACTCAAATGTTCCCTCAAATGTTGGCTTCTGTGACCACTCAAATGTTGGCTTCTGTGACCAACCCACTCAAATGTTCTCTCAAATGTTGGCTTCTGTGACCACTCAAATGTTGCCTTTCTTTGAAATTCTTCTAGGCTTCGAACCATTTTCCAGCACTTTTCAACTCATCCATCAGCAAGTGTGCCACTGATTTATACCCTTTTTCACGAGCTGTGCTCCAACAACATGAAAAACAATGAGGCCGTCAAAATCACCATCTTAGGAATATAGAAAATAAAACTCAATTAGAAATTTAGTATACTAAATAGATGAGATGAACAAACCATGATAAATAGCAATTCCAGTTGGTGTCATCTTTCGCTTCTTCAAACATAGAGAACTGCCATACCATTTGAAGAAAAGCATCATCATCAGCAAAATCTGCTCTTGAATTAGTGAATAATGCTTAAACGATCGACTATTTGTCAAAACACAAGTTTGAATGAATTGTTTTGAACTAAATTATAAAACATTCCTTGGAAGAATGAAATAGTTTAGATTAGATCATCTCATCCACAATTTAGCTTAAAAGGACTTAACCATTAAAGAAATGTTCTAAAGATGGCAGCATAAGAAAAGTAAATGTCTAGCTTGTGATAAAGGAAAATTGGATCTCTCGTTTAATAGTTGAAGAAAGATAAATGATTTGAAAAGCCTCAACATATGTTGCATACCTGTTACATATCCAATAAGGTTTGATGCCTTTCTCTTCAATACAGTGGGGGCACATCCAATTCTTCATCTTTCTGACTTCATCTATATCTGAAAAATAAAATGCAATCTATTCATTTAGATAAAAGCCAAGTTTCATAATGCAATTCTCATTAGTTGCTTCTGAGCCTTATAATAAAGTACAAAACCAACCAAACCAACCTTAGTAATGAACATTTGAGTGGACTTATTCTTTCATAGTGGTGGTGTTTAAGAAGCTGATTTTCAGGTGTTCAATAAAGTAGTTTCTGCATTACCAGTTTAACACAATATTTCAAAATTATCTTTTCAAAAATTAATTTTCACAAAAGTAACTAAATGTTTTTTTTTTTATAATCAGCTTTCAAGCAAGTTTTTTCTTCTTTAAATCGTGTAAAAATGCCGATAAAATGAAGGCTGGTCTTTTCATAAAATAATATTAAGAAGATACTATTTGAATTTTATTTCACTAAGAAGTTTTAAAATAATGTTCTAATTTTCTTTAATTAAATTTTATTGAAAATAGCTCAAAATGTTTTCACACAAACAAGTTAACACTTTGCTCTGACACTTAAAAAAAAAGGTATAAAGAATGTGGCCAAGAGTAAGGAAACATTTACCTTCACCATATCTAATCATGAGACAAGCACGACACAAGATTCCATTAGAAGAATGGCACACAGAACATTCCGTTTTGCCTATCAATGAAATTTAAAATGTTAAGATAACATCTGATAGTAAATGAAATAAAATTGAGAAAATCTTATTTTAATTTCTTCACCAATGCAAGGTTGGTTGATATTCCCAGTACTACATCTCTTGCAATCTTCTTCACCACACAATTTTTTTTGTCTGCAACAAAAGTCAATGTACAATTTAGAGATGCATTAATAAAGCATGCAAATAAAATAAATATGAAGGTATATAAAAAAATATATTGGATAAAAGACATGTATAAAATTAAGTTTAATTTTAATGGAGGTAGCATTGAACATAACGAAATGGGATGAAAATTTTGTAAAGAAAAAATTAATAGCTTCATTGAGGATAATGAGGATTGGAATGACTGTACAATGTATTTAGCAGTAAGTAATTAAAAATATATAATTTAGGTTACATTTGCTTAAACTAGTTAAACATGAAACTATTAAACACTAACAATTGCACAAAATCAAATCCATGAAAAGTAATAGGGGCATTTACATGTATACCAAACAATTCTTATGTATCTACATATCTAATATCCACACTTTTATATTTACATGCATAACACTCAAATCTTCAAATATCACTTAAAAAAGACTGCTACTGCTTACTTCTAAAAAGTGAAATACAACCTTAATGAAGGTTTATTACACTAAAATGTTATAAATATAAACATGAAAGTTTAAATGTTAGATATATAAATATATAAGAAGTGTGTGGTATGTATGTAAATTTTCCAAAGCTAATATTCTCTTAACATAAACTCCAAGTTAATTTTTCTACTACTTAGTGACAAAATATGAGAGTAGATAAAATAAAAGCATGTTGGACTATTAGTTGTAATAGAAAAGCATCTCTCATATTTAACATCTTATTCTTTATTCAAAGATATCACATCGTTTAGCATCGACCAATACTTTAGCCAAATGAAAAACATGAATACGTTTTTCAACATTATTTTATTGATAGAAAATCATAATCATTAAAGGAATTACTAACCAAGATGCCTAGAATGAATTTAAAATGTTTCTCATCTCCACTAGTTTAACGCAAATAGTAGTACCTATAATAAAAAATATATCATTATTGACTGTAGAAACTTGCATTTGTATTAGACAAAAAACTAGCGAGGATTATGTACAAATAAGAAATGTTCTACATGATAAAAGAACAAACAAACGTTTTTCAAACTCCCTACCCTCTAGAATGTCTTGCTACTATTAGATTGCCAGGGCTCTAAAATTTGGCAAATAACACACTTGAAAGAATGCAAATCATGATGAAAATGAGGGTTCAAGCCCTCTACTTGTAGGAAGAGGTTTGAGCATCATGGAAATAGACACTCAAAGAGGCTTATTTATAAGCATTAACTAGCACAACGTGGGAATAGCTTAATACTCTATTTTTGGTGCTATTTTGCATTATTAACAAATTTCATGCAATATCATTGAAGAACTTCAAAAATGGACAAGAATAAACTGTCTCTGAAATTCTAAATAAATAAATCAAATCTCATTTGATAATAGCATAAATAATCTTGTGTTAGGGACAAGTTGAATGAAGTATATCATTAGATAAGTAAATCAAATATCATCATGGAGCATTAGATAAAGAATGAACTACACTTGAGCTCATAAACAATTTAATCAAATATTATGCAAGATGAAAGATCTGTGCAATATAGGATCAACAAAGGGCAAATTTGAGGGATGAGGATGTGATATTGAAAGCCACAATACGGTAGATTAAGTTCTAACTAACAGTTACAATTTGATCTAAGCTAAATTAACACTGAACAGAATAAAGTAGGATTGTCTTAGTTAATCATGCCAACTACGCCACTCTCAGGCGGGAGTGCTCTCAGATCTTGAGAAGCGTGTTCCAAAACTGTTGATTCTGGAGGCATAGAAAGTGAGGAGCATATTAGATCTTTTAGAAATATTGCAACTCAAAATTTTACTCCACCCTATTTTGGGTTCTATACGACCCTTAGAAGTTATCTCACATATTTCTCCAATTTAGTTTGAATTCTCTCTAAATTGGCTAGATCTGATGATAGAAAAGTGGCTTATTCAATTTCGGTTTAGTTAATGGTAATAGAACATAACATTGCAGATACCAGCAAGCCTAGCTGCGTTTGAATGGAAAGTAAGTTTAGCAAATGAAATGATGAGAATCTAACGTTTGGTTTGGAATCCA